TAACTTGCAATAAGAGAGAATCGGTTAGATGACAAAAGATCCCTTACCTTAAGATCCCAAACGATAAGATCCCATCCAATAAGATACCATTCCAAAAATACCTCGTTCTAAAATCGCCCACGACATAAGATACCATAATAAAAAAACAAAGAACCTGAGAATTGAAAATAAAGCGGTTAACCGATCAAACCAAAAACAAAGCTTCAGTTAAAATCAAAGAAACGGCAAAATTTTTACTGCACAAATTTCATACATAAATGACCTTGCTAATAATTTAGCCTTCAAATTGAAACTCAAACTTCAAAACAGCTTACTACAAATGAACTTGTTAAGGGGTTCCAATTTATCAAAATCAAATTTGCAAAAAATGGCCTGATTTTTCAGAGAGCTCAAGTCAAAATTGAATTTAAGTTTTTGCAAAATTCTAAAGCTTTGAAGTCGTTTTCATTACGAATCACTTGCCATTCTATTTGATAAAAAATATCAATTCTCAATTTTGATCAATTTTTTTTCGCTAGACGCAATACTCGAAGGGCCGTCAGGCCCCTACCCCCTACCTAGCGTCCCGTAAATAAAGGCAATTGCTATGGGATCAAATTGCTGGAGACCGAATTTTCGAATGCGAGCCGTAGTATTGCTTTTCGGCGTTCTCCGCGAGGTTGCAAGGAGAGGTCTATAAAAAATTGATCAAACAAATTTCAATCTAGAAGAAATTAGGCAAAAACTAAAAGAAAATTTAATAGGTTAAATGGGCAAATGAAAGGATATAAGCTAAAATGTTGGAGTCTTTATATGAACTAGTTATTTGTCGAACTTTTTCATTCAGAATACGTGTTTTTTCTGGGACAAGTTGATAGTATCGCGGGATGCCTTCAAAGTATTGAATTTTTGATTGTAGGAATCTAGTTTAAAAATTTCAAGAAACGTATATATTGAAAGGATGGTTGCCTTAAAACAAAGCGGTTACACCTAGATTCCACTCTTCATTTTAATAATGGCTCGATAAAGAAGTAGGAAAGAGTGCTTCTCGGCCAATCAAATCCCCTTTGATGTACATTGTTTAGAAATATGCCGTGAGCTCGTCTTATTTTTCGTGATCGTTTTTGTGAAGTATCTAGTTTGGATGCCACACTGCATATTTCCTCAATTACTAATTCGAACCCAATTTTCACTTTTGACTCCGACACAAAAATAAGAGCAGGAATCATATTCAGCGCTAAGATAAGCTCGCTATTTGATTTGTAAGTCTTTTTAAGGCCCAATGTGGATATTTTCAGCATGAAGCTCTGGAGAGGTGCAAATAGCATTCTTTAATGTCAGTCTCGTAATGAGACGCAAAAGCACTTAACACCGCAATTTCAAAAATGATCAAAATTCTTTCCGGGGTGACGTCACCGATAAGCGATTTAAGTGCGGTCAGCAATTTGATATAATTTGATAAGCGTTTATTGCTGAGCAGAGCGTAGAGGCAAGGTGGATAAAACCCGCCAATCTGGATGTGTAGTGTAGAGCTGCTAAAACTGACTGGGAAAATTTTGGAAGTACCGCCGACAAGCCAGGTTCTGTTGTACAATTTAAGTGCATTGAGGTTCTCGATGTGGCCGAAAAACAAATGCGTTCCGTATCATGTTTTCCGCTATCAAAAAGGCAAAAAAGCTTAAAACGACCCGGTATTTCGAAATGAGGGTCATCTGTGACAATAGTGAGCAGGGATGTTGTTTGCTTAATTCTGTTTGGAGTTCGCGTTGTCGCCGATCGGGAGGGCAAAAACAGTTGTCGCCCTGCACCAATTGCGAACTAGCTGCGGTGATCTGACTGTTTATTGGATTTAGTTGATTCCTAACTATCTGCTTCGTTCGCTTAACTAATTATCGAGCTTCTGAGCGTCCATCGTTGAGCTGGCTACTATGTTCGTTGCTGTTCGAGATCATATCGATCCCAGAAGTGATTTAAGTTTTCGGGCACATATATGATCTCCATTTGCTGCAGCGCCAGAGTTTTGTTGTCTTTTAATCGCGTTTCTTTTGAAATTCATGGCCGTCAATAATAATCAGTGTTTAGCCTTTTTGTGAGGTTCCCTAAGTAAAAGAGTTCATTTTGACAATTCAATGAGTTAAAGAGCGAGATAATGAATGCAGAGGGTAAACATTTTTTATTGAGTTGTTCTAATTCAATGCCATATTAACACTTATTTAAACACATGCTGGGACTATGTTAATGCCAAAAATGAGTCCAGTTTAAATTTAAGTATCTTAGATTTGCGTTGGTCATTAATAGCGCGAACCTAATTGAGATAGAAATACTCTAGATTTATTTCTGATTACACTTTAATCACGAATTTTGTTCATAATTGTTGGGATCTTTTCTATTTGCATGGAATCTTGTGGTACGGTATCTTATGTCATGGGAGCTTTTGGTTTTGTATCTTTTGTCCTGACACCGAAAGAATCATGGCATGACAAGCTGGCGGAGAAAAAAAGGGCACTAAGTCCAACATTATTTGAAAGTGTCCAAGAAAAATTTTACCAAAACGTTTATTCTTTTGACTCAATCGAACACCAACTCGAGATATACAAAACTACTTACAGTTTTACCATTCACGCACAGTTATCTAGTTATTAATTGTTCCAAACATTCTTGAATAGACGACCGTTAAATTTGAAACAAAATTGTCAAAAATAAATTTTGAGCTAAAAATATGTGTTCCTTATCATGTTTTCAGCTATCAAAAAGGCAAAAAAGCTTAAAACGACCCGGTATTTCGAAATGAGGGTCATCTGTGACAATAGTGAGCAGGGATGTTGTTTGTTTAATTCTGTTTGGAGTTCGCGTTGTCGCCGATCGGGAGGGCAAAAACAGTTGTCGCCCTGCACCAATTGCGAACTAGCTGCGGTGATCTGACTGTTTACTGGATTTAGTTGATTCCTAACTATCTGCTTCGTTCGCTTAACTAATTATCGAGCTTCTGAGCGTCCATCGTTGAGCTGGCTACTATGTTCGTTGCTGTTTGAGATCATATCGATCCCAGAAGTGATTTAAGTTTTCGGGCACTTATATGAACTCCATTTGCTGCAGCGCCAGTGTTTTGTTGTCTTTTTTTATCGCGTTTCTTTTGAAATTCATGGCCGTCAAGAACAATCAGTGTTTGGCCTTTTTTTGAGGTTCCCCAAGTAAAAGAGTTCATTTTGACAATTCAATGAGTTAAAATGCGAGATAATGAATGCAGAGTGTAAACAATTTTAATTGAGTTGTTCTAATTCAATGCCATATTAACACTAATTGAAAGACATGCTGGGACTATGTTAATGACAGAAATGAGTCCAGTTTAAAATTAATTATCTTGGATTTGCGTTGGTCAATATTAGCGCGAAGCTAATTGAGATAGCAATACTCTAGATTTATTTCTGATTACATTTTGATCACGAATTTTGTTCATAATTGTTGGGATCTTTTCAATTTGCATGGAATCTTATGGTACGGTATCTTTGGTCATGGGAGCTTTGTATCTTTTGTCCTGACACCGAAAAAATCATGGCATGACAAGCTGGCGAAGAAAAAAGGGCACTAAGTCCAACATTATTTGAAAGTGTCCAAGAAAAATTTTGCCAAATCGTTTATTCTTTTGACTCAAACGAACACCAACTCGAGATATACAAAATTATCCACAATTTTATCATTCTAGCACAGTTATCTAATTATTAATTGTTCCAAACATTCTTGAGTAGACGACCGTTAAATTTGGAACAAAACTGTCAAAAATAATATTTGAGCTAAAAATGTTTACGCCCTTTATGACCCAATGAGGCGACTAAACCGATATCAAATTAGCTGAAACCATTGAAGTCAAGTGAATCTAATCAGAACAACCATTTGAGGCTCTAAAACACAAGTGCATGCTAATCAGAACAACCATTTGAGGCTCTAAAACACAAGTGCATGCTAAGAAAAAAAGCCGACAACAAATCACCTGAAACAATAGGAGCGAGACAATTATGTTTATCCTACAAAAATTTTAAAAACAAAATCGAAAGCGCACTACAACATCAAGAGAGCGCTGTAAAAGTATAGTCGCCTTGAGTAAGATTTGAATTTTTTAAAAATTGAGTATGCCAGCTTAAGGCACGTACTCTGTTAGCAATAATTCAGTTAGATTAGGTTAATTTGAAGCAATGATTAAATTAACCTGAAAAAAGGTTTGCGATTTGATAAAACTTGCTAATCGCAAGCGTAAAAAAAATCAAAGTCAAACTGTGAAAACAGAGGTAAGCTCGAACCAATTTTGTACTCTTTATACAATTGGTCAATCAATTAAAAGTTGTTCAAGCCATTGAAATCATTATTTTCAATAAGGCGGGCAAAGATCAATGTATGTTTTCAAATTTTAGTTATAAATGACAGTAGCTCTGCTAGTTTTCGCGCTATATTTAGCTCCTTGAAGGCATTTTTTATAGCTTAAATAACAAAGGCAGTGAAAATCAGAATTAAGTTTTCAAATGTTTTTGATGCAACTCGAACCACGCTTGAAAGGACTTAAATGACATATCACTCAATTTGTTTCAAGTTTTCTCGTGTATCTGATTTCTGAAAAAAATCCTCTATTCCCCACCCCATTAACCTTCAACTTCTCAAATCATCTGATGATAACCTTTGCGATAAGCAAAGGGTGTTGCAAATAGGTACTAGACTTTCTCCCGTGAATAATTTGGTCAACTTAGAGACAAAGTTTGAGCATATCTACAATTTAAATGCCTTTTCTATCTGAAATTTATATATAGTGGTTGTAAATTTACAGACTCCGATTTCAGTTTTTTTTTCTTTTTTTCATCTCTTTTTTCCTTTATTGCCTTAAAATGTTTCGGCTTTTACTATATCGGCTTAGCAACCACGTTTCGAGTCGTTTGATTGGCCGATTTTTGGTCGATCATGCTCATTGCTTTCAAAATGCCAAACTTTCCATTGCCTGAGAACATACGCAATTCATCCTTTCAAGTAAAAAAGTATTTGGTTGAAATTAAATTAAATTTGAATGATTATGACCGGCTCTAAGAACCAGTTAAGAACCAACTTGTCCTTGTGAAGGCACTGACGGATGCAATGAATCACAACAGGCGACAGGTAAGCTGTTAGGACTAAAGATACCAAAGCCATGAATGAATTTATCGACATACTTGAAAGTTATATCATAATTGATGTTTAACACAAAGATGACCTATCGCCTGACAAGGATTTATAAATACTTAAATAAACACCATCTGGGCAAAAATGATCAAATTTTTGACAATTATGCGAAAAATATATACATAAAAAGCATATTTCCAAACCCAAGTGCATATTGAGTTCTAACGCAATCGGTAGCTTGAAAAAGTATATTAAAGTTAGCAGACTTAAGGCCTAGTTTTTTAAAAGTCCAGTTCAGTTTTCAGATAACACCAGTGTGTCTAATTAGTATGGTGTTCTAACATTCAGCGACCCAGGCCATTCGAGAACATGTTAGGAAATCCTCCATTGCCACTGTTCTCTGTAGCACCTCCGTAGTTATACGAAGATTTCGAGGAGCTTCTGTGAGGCGAGTTGAACATAGCTCTAATGAGAGCTATCTGAGCTGCTGTAGACATGAACATGAGTACTAAAGAGAGCAGAGATGTTCTGTCGACAAGTACTAGTGTGGAGTCCATCTGGTTTCGGTCTCTGGCTTCTGTACTGCGTCTACCTGTCTGGTGCTGCATTATACGCATTATCCGCAGTCGGATGTTGTCTATTGCCTCAAAGATGTCTACGACTTTCATCTCTAATCTAACAACAACCAACAATCTGTTTATTACAAGTCAATAAGATATTTCGCCCTATTTCGTTCAATAAATTTTATTTCATAATTTAATGAGTAGAGAAAATATGGCCGGTTAAAACATAGAAGAAAGTCACTAACGATTCCGTATCCGACCCACTATCTAGGTCTTCATAGGCTGTGTCGTAATCAGCCATGGGTCGATTGTCGAAGTACTCAAACGAGACCACTTTCTCTGCGAAGCGGCTGAAGACATTGTCCAGACAGAACTCATGCACACCATCGAGTTTCACTTCAATATCGAAGAACTCAGACCTCTTCATGGGCAAATACTTCAGAATTTCGCCTTTCGGGTTCTTCATGATGAAGGTTATGTCCATGTTTCCACCTTTAAATCGAAGAAGTTGGGGTTAAAAATTATGCCTTATCAGGCTGAGCAGTCATCAAGTAATGAATTTATTTCAGATACTTTGAATAATTCCAGCTACTCGATTATTTATGTATGCATTTATATTGTATTAACGGAGTGCATTTTAATGGCTACTAGTAGAACATATTCGATATTACGAAAGATGAAAAAATTACAGCCTATTTTTTTCCGGCAGATGCGTGTGTACTTCTTTCAGTCCTCTATAGTTCTAAAATATCGCAACGAGAAGTATTGGACCGACCGTTCACTTAATCTAACCGGTAATCGGTAAAAAAAACTATTTGTGCAGATAGCATGCCGTGTGAAAAACCTGGTGCATTACATGTTATTACTAAATTGAAACTGGCGTGATTGATTCAAATATTGACCTTTGAATACGTCAAACTCGACCTCCAGAGTGCGTCCTGCAATGAGATCCTCATAGTAACAACTTCTGGTGCCTGCTGGTATAATACTGACTATTGCATTGTCTACTGCTGTGGTGAGGCGAATAAAACACACTGCCATTGTGATAAACAAGTACAAAACATCACTAGTAAAAAAATTCACCAGCATATCCCAAAACTGAAAATCATAATAATTACCAGAAACTGTTTAAAAACAAACTACACAAATTTATCATGAAGTAGCACAGAATTTCCAACCACAGCTAAATAACAAAAAAAATAAGCGTTGTGAAAAAAAACACGCTCCCAATATTTATTTATGAGCCATCCATATATTGTAAACAAGGATAGCCGGTTGCTGTGCAAGTAGTACAGAATGTTCCGACCACATTCTCAGAAAAAAAAACACTTTCTTTTTTGTTCAAGTTAATGTTTTATTTCTAATTCTTGTGATGATGCCACTATACGAACGCGTGAATATTTGTGAATTAGACATAAATGGCTCCAATTGTCTTCAAAAAAAATTAAAACACACTAATAATTTTTCGAAAAAAATTTTAGCACAATATTTTAAATATTCTAAATATTTTAGAAATTTTTTTTTTGGCAGAGAAGAGCCAAATCAAGCTTGCACAACTAAATTTCCTTCTAGAATAATCAAGCTTTTCAGCCTAAATTGCTAATTTTCAAATATAAAAAAGTTACTAGACTGCTGTACTCGCTCGAAAATAGACTAAATATCAAAAATTTCAAACCAGTTTTTCTCGACACATTAGTTTTTTTTGGAAATTTTTTAATGTCGTTCTAATCACGACTAAAATGGCTTCAATATGATATATCACTCGATATTGTCCGATGATTGCTTATGGTACCTGATTTTGCGTCAAAAAAAAAGAAAAAATTAATACATATCCGAATACAAAGTTACTCCCCATTTTCAATTGCATGCTAGAAGAAGTTTTTTTTTCAAATTTGGGTCAATAATTGTGCGTGGTGCGCTGACGGGAAGCAGACTGAAACATAGAACATTTGTAAATTTGGCATAATAAATGAGTTTTCTTCGAATTAAGAATAGCAGAAAAAAATCTTTTTCTCAACTTTTTTTTTATTTTTCAGCACAATTTTTTTGTAAAGAAAAATCATTGTCAAGGAAGCGCTGAATGAAATTAGGGAAGTTCTCGAACTATTTTAATGTTTAAATCTCTACCGACAAAGCTTTTATATGATATATTATTCAACCTATTCCGATGACTATTTTTGGCACCTAATTATGAAAAAGTGAAAAAATTAAAAACACACCCGAAGACAAAGTTTCTCCCCATTTTAGAGATCGAAAAAAAAATCCAAACTCTTGTGTGCTCTAATATTTTATATCCACCTTAATGCAGCGCTAGGATTTCTTTAGTAGACAAAAGTAAGTCTTTCTTGCAAACTCTCGAAGACAGCTAGAATCAAAGCTTTTACTTTTTTCGTTTTAGTCAGGTTACAAAATTTTTTTGATGGGAATGCTTTTGAATATATAGATTAAATTCGCCAGCGACTGCATTATTTACTCTTCATTTAGAAAATGAACTTTTTTAATGTTTGTTTCGATCTTTAAAATGGGGAGGAACTTTATCTTCGGGTGTGTTTTACCAAGTTCCTCTCCATTTCAGATATCGAAACAAAACTGAAAAAAATTTATTATCAAAATGAAGAGAAAATTCATGCATTTTTTGTTAAATTCAATCTATACATTCAAAAAATTCCCACAAAACGTTTTTTGCAACCTGACTAAAACACAAAAAGTCAAAGCTTTGAAAACTTCAGACCAGCTTTCACAATTCTGTCCCAACCAGCGATCCTAGCTGCCTTCTAGAGTTTGCAGTAAAGATTTACGTTCGTCTACTCAAAAAATCCAAGCGCTATATTAAAGTGGATAAAACATTAGAGAACGCAAGAATTTGTTTTGAACTCAAAAAGTGCATATATACCTTAATATCTAAGTGCATTTATAGATGCATCAATATGGATAATGCACTTCTCTAGTTATTAGAGCTTTTTTAGGCTTTCTCAGAAAAAAAACAATCATCAAGACCTATTAAAAAGAAAACCACCCCGTTAATTTACACTGAATTATCCAACCAAAAAGCTGTCATGCATGACTTTCGTCAAAAACCAGAAAACTCGCAGCAAAAACTATGAAAAAACATCAAAAATGAACACAGAGGAGAAGCAACACTTCGCAAGTACAAGTCAAAACCGCCAAAAGGGCTTTAAAATAGCAAGAAAAAAAAACAGACAAATAACTGAGCTTTAAAATAATTTAAAAATAAATTTGTCGCATGCCGGCCTCAAGATTTTGAGTATAATGGCTCGACAAACAGAGTGGCCGGTTGTTGCGCACATACCTCCAAAAATAATGTTCCGATCACGGTTAAATGTACAAAACAAATCAGGTTCATAGTTTTTGGTTTTCATGAGCAGCAGAAAAAGATTCAAAGAAAACTGTAAATTGTTAAATATTAGCTGTAATATGGTAAAACCAAAATGATTGCAAAATAATTGTTAACTTCGAAATGACAAACAAGGAAAGACGAAGATAAATTCTCCATACATGTTTCGCGCATGGCTTTTTTGTGCTAACTAAATAAAGAAATCCAATATTAATTGTTTTAAGTCGATGATTTACAGAAAATATATACTTGAGCAATAATCAAATATACCTTAATATCTAAGTGCATTTATGAATGCATCAATATGGATAATGCACTTCTCTAGTTATTAGACTTTTGTCTGAAAAAAAATAATCATCAAGACCTATTAAAAAAAAATCACCCCGTTCATTTACACTGAATCATCCAACCAATAAGCTGTCATGCAGGACTTTCGTCAAAAACCAGAAAACTCGCAGCAAAAACTATGAAAAAACATCATAATGTTGCAAGAAATTGCAGTTTCAAAAATGATCACAGAGGAGAAGCAACACTTCGCAAGTACAAGTCAAAACCGCCAAAAGAGCTTTAAATTAGCAAGAAAAAAAAAACAAACAAATAACTAAGCTTTAAAATAATATAAAAATAAATTTGTCGCATGCCGGCCTCAAGATTTTGAGTATAATGGCTTGCAAGAAAAAACAAAAACAACCAATTAAGCTTTAAAAGAATATAAAAACAAATTTGTCGCATGTCGGCCTCAGGATTTTGAGTATAGTGGCTTGCAAAAAAAAACAAATAATTAAGCTTTAAAATAATATAAAAATAAATTTGTCGCATGCCGCCCTCAAGATTTTGAGTATAATGGCTCGCCAATCAGAGTGGCTGGTTGTTGCGCAAAAAGCTCCTAAAATAATGTTCCGATCACGGTTAAATGTACAAAACAAATCAAGTTTATAGTTTTTGGTTTTCATGAGCAGCAGAAAAAGATTGAAATAAAACTGTAAATTGTTCAAAATTAGCTGTAATATGGTAAAACCAAAATGATTGCAAAATCATTGTTAACTTTGACCTGACAAACAAGGAAAGACGAAGATAATTTCTCCATACATGTTTCGCGCACGGCTTTTTTGTGCTAACTAAATAAGGAAATCCAATATTAATTTTTTTAAGTCGATGATTTACAGAAAATATATACTTGAGCAATAATCAATTTTTAGTTTCTACTTCATCAAACAATTTTACCATGTTTTGTTGATTAGAATTAGCTGCATTCTGCAATACTTTCTGTGCTTCTTTGAACCGTTCAATTTTATAGCTTCGGATAAAATGTTTGACCCAATAAGGTGGACACACGTCTTGAAACTGCTTTAGTTTATCTGCGCATTTAGAGTCTATTTGTTCCTGCGACTTGTATGATGACATGCATCCAATGTAGATGTCTCGCGCACTCCAGCATATTTTCCTCTCCTCTTTACTCAGCGTATCAGAGGGCATATCAGATTATGCATATATTGTAGTTAAAACATATTTTGGTCAAAAATATCTGAAAAAAAAACAAGTTTCTTTAAATTGAGCCAATTTTCTCTGGGAAAAGCACCTTTACACCTGACTTTTTACACTTAACGCCTTAGTTTTGAGCCGTCTAGAGATATTCTGAACAACAAACATACAACATTTTTAAAGTAAACAGGTAATAGTTGCTGTGACAACAATTTTTTCTCTAACTAATGTTTTCAAAAAATTGATATAAGAAAAAATTTGCAAGTCCAGCTTCTCATTAATTTTTTTTAACTCTAAACAAACCTAGCCAACAGGCAGTTGGAGTTAAATGAGCCATAAAAAATTTAAAAGGCGACTGTATATTTTGAAGCATTATCACAAAAAGACATATATGACCTTAATGCTCCTTACAAATCAACAATATTATTTGATTGACATTTTTTGATAAAACTAGCCAAATTTCAGAAAAACTAATTTAATTAAATGCAAAAAAATCATCGTCCATGTACTTGCGCGAAAATACAAGCTTCTGTACATTTCGCTACATTGCCTGGCCCATGTGGAAGAACAGAATTGAACTTCTGATCAGGCTGAGTTGTCCATGGCGTTGCAAACGGCAGCTTCCAAATCAATTGAAACTTTTTACCGAATTGCTTTAAGCAGTTTAAAGTTTTCTCTAAATTTCTTGAGTCTTGTTGGGCAGCAAAGCGTACACCAAAAGTATAGGAGTATTTTCGATCACTCGATGTATGGTATAAACTTGATAGAAAACATCTGGTGCTACTGAAAACGACTCATCAGAAGGGCAGATGTCCGACAGAGAATGCAAATCGAGGGCAGGCAATTTGGCAAAGAACAAAACTCGGCTGTCTAATTTAAAAGAATCAAAGTATAGGAATAAGTTTTCGTTGTTTGTGACTTTGGGAGGTTCAGAATTTCGACGACTCTCAAGGTTTTTCTTTTCGGCATTGTTTCTAAAGCTTGCTGCCTTATCCTGTTTATACATCGAGATGTAGAGTAACTTAGTATTGTCGGTGCTGCAAAACGAGGCAAGTCAATTTGTGCGCACAAACAATAACCTGCGGGGGAGCGTTGCCAGTATTTGTGGCTTTTTCTCGAACTTCGAGCGCAAATTGTTCTGCCTAAATATTTGATGGTCTCCGTAAATTAGCATCCTCGGTCTTAAGAATAACTCGTTCGTCATCTAAATAACCCACCGCCCTAGATTTTTCGAAGGTACCTTGCCATTTAACAAGGCCATTCTTTAGTGTTTTTTCACGATATCTAAAACCATCAAAA